CACCGGACCTTCACCCCCCCCTTCCCCTCCCTTTCTACTTCTCTTTTCCCCCGATCCCTGCTGGGCTAGGGTAGAGCAGCTACTCAATACCAGTCCATGCGTAAACGCCAGGAGCACACTGAGACCCCTCAATCCCTCCCCTCACCTGGAAACCCCCAGCGACCAGCCCCGCGGGTTTGGGACATTTTCCGCCCGCCCCGCAAGGCCAGAAACAATCCGTACCTTATCCACGGTCGATTCTCCACAGAACAGTCTACGAACCTGTGTTGTCCCCTGCCTCCATCTGCAGGTGCTCCAGGTGGCGGGACAGCTGGGGCAGCCGCAACCGGAGCAGGTCCCTGAACACGGCCATGTCCACGGACAGGCCGCGCAGGTTGTTGGCGAAGTAGCTCTCCGGGAGCACGCCCTCGATCAGGTAGATCATCACCTGTAAAACCAGCAGGCGAGGTCAGCACATACGCCACACTGTCTGCCGCGCCACCATCGGGACCCTCACTTTGATCTCGGAAAGCACTCGCTGTTTGTATTTATTTTGAGCTGCAGGGCAGGCGATCGCGACGCGGCGTAAAAAAAAACATGACAAATAATGTAAAAATAAAACAGCGAGCGGGCGGCAGAGCAGAGCGACAGATCCTTCCACAACAACACAGCACATCACAAAGCCTCCCGTGTGTCTAACGCTGCCCCCTCCCCCCTAAAACAAAGGGGAAAAAACATCCCGCGCTTCGCAAATCCATCCAACGGCCAGCATATGGCCCACTGACGCAACGGTAACGGCGTTACGCTGAGCTCTCGTAACGCCGGCGCGCAGTCGTCGTCAGCGCATGGAATTAATTCACTAATTAAACGTGAGTGGCGGCGGAGCAATCGTCATAACAATCACGCAGCTGCGGCTCCGCTGGCTCCGCTGGCTCCGCCGCCGCGGGCACTCCACGTCAGGGGCAGAAACGCATAGCGGCGACTGTAACCCCACAATGTGAAGCGTGAAGCGGGGAACTAAAAAGTAAGGCGAGAGGTACATAAACGGGAAAAGAGAGGTGTAAAGAGAGAGAGGTAGAAAAAGAACACACGTACACACACACACACACACACACACACACACACACAACACGAGTTGTTACCTTGACGGAGTCGGGCTCGTTGCGGTCCATGACCTGCAGGATGAGGGCGGCCAGCATGTTGAAGCCCTGGCAGTAGCCCACCGCCTTGTTCCAGCGTGCGTACGCGAGCAGCACGCGCTTGAGCACGGCCTGGTTGGACTGGCCGCAGAACATGCTGCAGCCCGTGCGGTGCAGGTCCTGCGCGAAGAGAGAGACAGAGAGAGTCCAGCGTCAGTCACATGGCTGATGCAGGAGAGGAAAAGAAGAGCCAAGACAAAAAGGGGTCTAAAATAAGATGCAGTATAAAAACTTCAATAATGTGTTTTTAAATGGGGAAAATGTAACACATTTTGTAAGGGATTGTCCATAGAAAGTTCGTCCGTTTTTATCGGAACCATTCGACAAAATTACGGGAGCTCGGCGCCTGCGAGACCTGGGATAGGCCAGCCCGCAGTACACGTGTGCACTGAAGATAAGATGTTGCCTATCTAACAGGCGCTATGAGTGCTTGCACAGGCAGGCTGAACTCGTCAGGTTTGCCACGGCGACTGACGGAGGTACTTTCTGGGTGATCCCTAAAACTTAATTTGGGGAAGTATGCCTTGGTCCGTGCAGGCTCCCCCAGCACCCCCC